TAACTGTTTGTTCGATCTCTCATTATTTGTCTCCCTGCTGATTCAGTTTAGCTTTAAAATGCATACATTGCTGTTTCTGGCATGACGCACTCATTACTAAAAAGCACCTGGCAGAAAGGCCCGTCAGTTTATCCACACACTTGAAACAAATGTTCGCAAAACGCGTGGAATTTGGATGCGACTGAAACTTTCCTCGCACATTTCTGTTTTTCTGTTGTATGTTCAAACAGCTCAAGTACAGCTGCTAACAGCTACGCAGTGCCAGGTTTCAACCCTGATCCCCTGTGCCAGTATGAAACTAAGCAAATACTCATTTCCAGCCACTACAAGCACAGCTACAATCTAGCAGGAGCTCCACAGCAGCACTCATTTTTTAACTGACATGTTTTAGCATTTGTTTTGGAGCCTACCGACACGTAGGGTATCCTGTTGCCTGAAGACATGCCACGATGTGCGCTACACGCTCTGTCAGTGGGGCTGCTCATTCAAATCTACATCAATGTAAAGTTAAAATAAAGCTCCAAAGCAGAAAGCTATGCTTTTAAAGCTAAATAACTGAAGAGCTCCTGGGACTACTGCTTCATGATGCATCCCGTGAACCATAGCCTCTCATACGTTTCCACTGAACTTCATGACAACAGGCGGGTGTGCGATGAAAGCGGAGAACACATTTAAACTCTGACCTGAAACTGCTGTGACAATTCTGCGCAGGCCAAGCTTTGCTTCCGGCACTGTTCTCAATTATGCTCAGATTTAAAGATGGATCCTCAGAGCAGAGCCAACAAGGGCAAGGGATAAGGGAAAACCTTTCAAAAGATGTAAATGACTTCACACCACCATCTCGTCACTTCCACAGAGACCGCTCAACTACGGTATCTTTTCCTTGCCACCCCTCCATCCTATTCTGCTAGACTCTGCAATGAAGGTGAAATTTAATGTGGGCACAATATTGCCCAAACATTCAAGAAATGTGTCAGATCCCAAAAGCATCTTTAGGCAGTCCAAAAAGAATGAGATTTTTATTAAGAGGTTAAATCACATTGAACCCAAGTTGGTGGATTTTTAAATCTGTTCGCCGATTTTTGAAGCTCCTGTGTGGTAGAAGGCCGAATTTCTTTCCTGCTCCAGCAGTTGCAGATACCACATAAACACTGCCTCTCTTTAGATCATTACTGAGACTGAACTGGGGATCTTTGCGTGCGAAAGCATGTTCCTTTATCATTTCAGCTAAAGAAACAAACCTTGGGGCAGGAAGTCAATCTTTATCACCAGTCAAGCTGGTAGGGGATGATACAGAACCACATCAAATTGATGTAGATCAGAGAAATATTTAATTCTCCCATGTTCCTTCTAAAAGACTGCTGGCCATCATGGTGGAGTGATGACTTAGTCTGAAATCATCTCAGCACATGCTGTCATTTTACCTGTGAAACGTATGATCACACTTTCTTGTGACTCAATAAAATGACCAAGGGCCCTGATGTGGAGTAGCACACCTCTAGATTACAGGGAGCTATGCTGAGAGGGAGGCTTTCCACCCTTCTTTTTAGGCTTTAAGCTGAAACGGTGCAAAGCAGAGGTTTCCATGCCGTCAGTGCCTATAGGAGGCATCAAAACCATACTATGCATGACAAAAACAACAGAAGTCCAACAAAGAGTACATGGTAATCTGGTCGAGGCAGAAACTTTGTTTCACTATATAGCATTTTGCATGTTTGTGCGCCTTATTCACGTGCCAAGATTTACGAAATTCTCTATTTTTGTAAAACTGACGGGGACAGAGATGGTTCTGCGCTCGGGACACTCGTTAGTCCTGAATGAAGCAATTCTGACTATGTTTATATTTTAGCTGGCTTCAAAAACAAAGAGGCAAGGAAAACCTTGGTTTCTTCCAGTTTTTAACTTGTGAAATCCCTAGAAGAGGGTGAAGCCAGACAACATCTGTGGCACTACTGACCAACTAAACAGAAATGTTGCAGCCTGTTTAGCAAACTACAACATAAATCATGGAAAAAAGGGTAGCTGGCATATACTCACAAGCTGAGGATTAGAGCACATTTAGAGCCAAAGAATGGAGGAATATTTTTCTCTTACCTGTCCCACTATATACGTTACTTGAATTTTTAGAGATAGCCGGCAATTTTCCCCCAAAGTAACAACTTGTACTGACAATCACCCCCGTGACTTTTTGCCATATATATATATTTTTATTTCTGAAATTAGTTACCAGCAACAGGTTGCAGCTTGTTGCCTGATGCTTCAAACTAGAAGAACCCTTCAACAAAAGCATGCTTCAAAAAGCATGCTAAATGAAAAAAAAAAAAAAAAAGATATGGTAGCTAGATTGCAAGAAAAATCGTTTGTTATTTTGAGAGCGTGACAAAGTTTGAAAGTGCAACAGGAAATCTGAGAACACTAAATACATATATTTAGATGTGGACAGACATTTATGCGTAGTCTGCCCAAGAGAAGCAAATGCAGCTCCAGAAGAGCACAGTTGAAGGTATTGCATCCTACACACTCTCTGGGCAGAAATACATTGCTTTGGGAAAATGTGTGGCATAAGGGTGTTTAACAGTTCTTAAGAAAAATGAATTTATTGTTTATGAAACATTCAAATTACCAGCCTAGGGAAAATATGCCTTTGTACAAGCAAGGGACAGCTCCGGCATAGACACCAGCAGAACAAAGATTTGCACACATCCATCCATTGCCACGGAGGAATCAGAGAGGCCAGCTCAGTGTCTGCACCTAGTCAGTCCGTACCTTCTCTGCTGAGGCTTGGCTAGTCCTTCATGGCGGCGTTGCTAGCTAGCACGGCCACCTACCCGCCTGTACCTGGGCACATGTCCTTCAAGGCTCGACAAACACAAAAGGTACTTTCCAACGGTTCCATGTTGGCTGTTTACTAATAATCCTTTAAAAAAATCTATTAATGATTTCACAGCTTTTTGAATTATACCCAAATAACGAAAGAGCAGATGCAACCCGTGAAGGCAAGCAGGCAGCAGTAGCCAGATACGCTAATTACATTTCACTCAACAAAGGAATCAGCATTCTAACAGCTTTGCTGCAAATTCCACATGTTTTAATTGGTTAACAATAGACAAGGCTCTAATTAAGAGCTGGATGACTTCTAACTGGTTAATTCACTTAAGAAGCAGTGGGTGTTACTGCCAATTAATATCATGCCCAAACGTTTGTAATTACTGGAGGAGGACAGGAAAAAGGAGCAAAGGGAAAATTCATTCTGGCTTCAAGCAGAGCCTGAACCGTTAACACATGCACCTGAAATCAAACATTGCAAATTAAGTTATATGTCCCGCTAATGTGCTTGTGGTTACCAAACCAACAAGTTTTCTAGAACGTACAATGGAGATGGTTTCTGGCATAAGTGATAGAGAGCTACCTCAATACCATTAATAAACCATGTACACTCCCGAAGTTAACCTATTAACACCACACACACTCCCCACTGAATGGCAAAGAGTTCAGAATCGCAACCATTCAGTAAGTACATGACAGGCAGCAATCACAGAAAAGCTGGTCTCCAGGTCTGACTGCAGGCAGCTGGATACCAGTAACACCTTAGTGCAGTAGTTCCCAGTTCAGGGCAGGCTGCAAAACCCACCAGGGAACCTGGGTAAATATTGGGTGGTTACCACACCCGAATGCTGCAGCAGCTTCTCCTGTTGGCTCCTGTATTGGTATCTGCATGAGCTGTAATTGCACCATGTAGAAATCTGCTAGATCTCCACCAGCATCAATACAGAGGGAGGGTGTGTGACTCAAGCAAGAAAACATTAGGAGACATTGCATTTCGAGGCTCATCTCTGGCCTTTTATTCCTCTAACTAGAGGGCTGGAGACTACAATAAAAGTGGAGTCACCTCTTAGTTTTCACAGGAGCGAGAGAGTCAGCGAAAGAGGGCCCTTTAGAAAAGGTCGTTGCAAGTATGGTGACGAAGCGTGCGTCTGGGGAGAGAGGGCTCTCTGGACTGAGATGGCAGTGTAAAACAGAAGTGGTGCCACATTGCAGGTGTCTTCAGAGGCACTTGAATGGAGTGGGAGGCGCTCAGGTAAACAAGCATCCATCTTTGCAGATAACAGAGCTGACCACTAATGGCTTCCTTTATCCCAGTGCACCTCATAGTGCATTACCGGGCTTTAACACATTCCCCTACTACACTAAGTGTACTGAGCTAACTGCATGTTAGCTAGCCAGCCCTTAATGGATACCATTCAAGCCTTGCTGCATCTCTAATTACTCTTACTGATCACTTATGCCATTAAATGCATTATCTGAAATCAAATCTTCCTTTCAGACTTTTTCTTGTAAGCAATCTAAAACTTAAAGCTATTATTTCAGGCACTCTTAATTATTGGTTCACTAAGCCCCACGGTTAGAGGCCTGAGACGGGCACATCATCGAAAACTATTCTGTGACAGAATGTGATGCCACTCTGACATTTCTGGCCCAGGGAGAGAAGGCAGCATTCCAGTACTTGAAATATGCTAAAATAGGAGGTAAGCGATTGCAATAATATAATCGCAATAAAGACCCCCAACCATTACTAGTAAAATCTATGTGGCTTACATGGAGAGCAAAACTAAGGAGTGAATGTGACCAAGGAGTGCAAGCAAACAGGAAGTGCTAGTCCTTTAACGAGAAAGTTGTTCAAGACTTTCAGAAGAATTCTGAATACTTTAACCTGAACGACTGCAGCTAAAATAAGTCATGTCTTATTTTTTATAATTTCTCTATCTCTCTGCATATCAGTCTAAATCGTTGCTTGAAACAGGTAAATCTTTCAACGACAGCATTATATTGCTCTAGAATAAGTGGAAAGAATTGAATGTCCGTATTTTATTTCTAAAACGATATGTGAATTATGGACAGTATGGATATTCTATACACAGACTGACTGATAACTTTGAACTGCATCCAAAGTCAATATTGATTGTCCAAAAGATGATAAAAATTAGTAAGCCTATTCCTACCTTATTGTTTCTTCTATCAGCCGATCCGAGCTGCAAGAGAAAACAAAAACTGCAGTTAAAAAAAGGAACAAGCACTAAATATTTTACATCAATACATTAATGTTTTCCAAAACATAACCCTTTACCAGTTTGCCCTTGTGCTGAATTACTTGGGGTGCAAGGTCACTTCACATCAAAATGAGGACTTGGCCTGCATAATGGAAGTCTCAGCAGAAGAAACACAATGGGCATAGATTTTTGGTGAGAGGATAACCTTATTTTTTCCCAATCTTGGACCAGGAGTATAGTCTAACAGCAAAATACTTCAAAATGGTCCAAACTGAAAGCTGAAACTGAATTCACTTGGACCACATCTAGAGACGCTGTTTGAGAGCTGCTCAGAAAACACTGCGATGCTTTGCATAATGGAAACACAGGACAGATAACTCCCTACCTGACTGCTCCCATTGGTTAACTAAAGTTAAGCGATGGTTGGAGATGCTGAAATACTTTCCCCCTCCACCCATCCACGTATGGTCTTGAGAACCACTTGTGCACTACTAATGACAACCGTTAGCAAAGCAGTCCCATTGCTGCATCACCAGAATTATGAAGCCTGTGGTAGGGTTCAATGAAGACGACCCTTTAGCGCAAAGAGAAAAGACTTGGGAGGACAGAGTGCACACAAGAGACTTTCTGGGTACATCTACTGTGCATTTTGGTGCTCTTCCCTAACGCACATTAAATTTAGTACCTCCAATATGAGGTATTAAACAAATGTGCATTAGGCTGCCTTAATGCGCAGTAACAAATGAACAGTTCTTAAGTGATGCTTAATGCGCAGCAGCCTATTTTACTGTGTAGTAACATAATAGCATGGCTTTTTATGTGACGCTTCAATGTTCAGTAAAATAGGCTACTGCGCATTAAAGTGCACGTATAGACAAGCTCACTGTATTCTGTAACTGAATTAATATGAACACCAAGCTCCTGCTAAAGGAATACCCGCAGGAAGTAAAACCTGAAAAGATAAGTGTCTATTGATAAATGTGGCAAAACCTTCAGTGCAATGCTAGGTACCTGGTCCATGCATCCTCATCACCCATCTTTAAATTTAAGAAAATCAAATATGCAATTTAAAAGGCACAGGGGTCAAGGAATGCTCCAGATCTGACCAGGAACATAAAAGCAGAAAGACCCCTCCCTGACCAGCTCGATCAGCACCAACAAAACAAAAAGCTCAGCTCTCTTTAAATCGAGGCTGTGTACCAATATGTGCGCCTTGGGACTCTCTACCTTGCTGATCAACAGTCTGTCTACCTGCCTGCATGCTCAGCTTTCAGGACTCCAGAAGAAACCCTGAGAAAACGTAGTGTGTTTGCTAGATGAACCTGGCAAGGAAATCAATCTGACAGAACCAGCCTGTATTGGAAGCAGCATGTGTTAAAGCAGAATTTATTATCATCACAATAAAAGGATTTGGAGGTATTAAGGAGTATGACCCTGCTCCCCACTGGCAGTTAGCTCAAAGGAGCCACTGGAGCAGGGGGAGCTCTGCTGCTTCTTTGCAAGAGTCTACCCAACTTGAAACTTTTCCAAAAACCCACATGCAGAATGGTGATCGCCCACACATCACACTGCCAGGTTCACACTAAAGTAGCAAATTGTGGAGTATTTATACATACTCCCTCTCCAAGGAGCAGATGTCCCTATTTGCCTGTGTTAGGAAGAGTGAAAACAAACAAGCTGCTATTTTCAGCATCGTCCAGATTACTGAAGCATACGGAGACAGACTACCGAAAACCCGAAATATTTAGCCTGAGAAGGAGCAAAGGGGATTCAATTGAGATGCTCAAAACTGGGAGGAGGGGGGGG